GTGATAGAAGCAAAATTCTCGTGTAACAGACTAAAATTCTCGTGGTAATTCTCAAAATTTCCGTGTGAGAGTAAAATTCTCGTGCGGAATGTCTCCGGGATATTCCTATTTGCTACAATAGAATTAAAATTCTCGTGCAAGACACTAAAACTCTCGTGGTAATTCTCAAAATTCCCGTGAGAAAGTAAAATTCTCGTGCAGAATATCTCCGATATTTTCTCAACTACCTGTCATAGAAGCAAAATTCTCGGGCAAGAGACTAAAATTCTCGTGGTAATTCTCAAAATTCCCGTGTGAAAGTAGAATTCTCATGGAGAATGTCTTCGTGATATTCTCATTTCCTGTGATAGAAGTAAAATCCTCGTGTAACAGACTAAAATTCTCGCTTTATAATCATAAAAATAGACAACCGAATAAGCAGAAGCAAAGCGGAGAAGAAGAAAAGTGAGCTGCCCAGTACGCGTTTCAGCCTTGCTCAAGGGCTTCTTTCTTTGTTCTCCTTCTTCGACTGTGTAGAAGGGCACAGTTTCGTAATAGTTGAACCAGTCATAGTCATCATACATATATTACGTGGTCAAACGTGAATATAGTCGAAACTGTTCGTCAAAAAACTAGCAAGAGGAGAAGCAGAGAAACGTCATGATTTTGCCATTGAAAAGAGGACACTGGGTCAGTCTGTATTCTTTAGTCAAATTTTTGGTACTGAAACGAAGATACAAGTACAATCTGTGTATACTTGTATCATATATAACACGTTTTACAAGTTCTCGCGGTAATTCTCAAAATTGCCGTGTGAAAGTAAAATTCTCATGGAGAATATCTCCGATATTTTCTCAACTTCCTGTGATAGAATTAAAATTCTCGTGTAACAGACTAAAATTCTCGCGGTAATACTCAAAATTCCCGTGTGAAACAAAAATTCGCATGGATAATATCTCCGATATTTTCTCAATTTTTGGTGATACAAGTAAAATTCTCGTGTAACAGACCGTAATTCTCGTGGTAATTCTCAAAATTCCCGTGTGAAAGTAAAATTCTCGCGGAGAACATCTGCGGTATTTTCTAAATTTCCTGTGATAGAAGTAAAATCCTCGTGTAACAGACTAAAATTCTCGTGTTAATTCTCAAAATTCCCGTGTGAAAGTAAAATTCTCACGGAGAATATCTCCGATATTTTCTGAATTTCGTGTGATAGAAGTAAAATTCTCGTGCAAGAGACTAAAATTCTCGTGGTAATTCCCAAAATGCCCGTCTGAAAGTAAAATTCTCGTGCGCAATGTCTCTGGGGTATTCTCGATTTCCTGTGATGGAATAAAACTCTCGGGCAAGAGACTAAAATTGTCGGGTAACAGACTAAAACTCCCGTGGTAATTCTCAAAATTCCCGTGTGAAAGTAAAATACTCGTGCGGAATGTCTCCCGGATATTCTCATTTGCTATGATAGAATTAAAATTCTCGTGCAAGAGACTAAAACTCTCGTTTTAATTCTCAAAATTCCGGTGTGAAAGTAAAATTCTCATGGAGAGTATCTCCGATATTTTCTCAATTTCCTGTGATAGAAGTAAAATTCTCGTGTAACAGGCTGAATTTCTCGTGGTAATTCTCAAAATTCCCGTGTGAAAGTAAAATTCTCATGGGGAATGTCTCCGGGATATTCTCAGTTTCGTGTGATAGGAGTAAAATTCTCGTGTAACAGACTAAAATTCTCGTGGTAATTCTCAAAATTCCCGTTTGAAAGTAAAATTTTCGTGCGGAATGTCTCCGGGATATTCTCCATTCCTTTGATAGAAGTAACATTGTGGTGCTGGGGAACTTTATTTTTCAATTGTTTATATTTCTTGCCTTTACACCGTATGCAACAGCCTTTTATTTATATACAATGTCGGGTAGAATATTTCGACAGGAACTTCGAAAAGTATTTGTAAAATTATGTGGAAAAATTGGCCTACAAGTGGCACAACCAGTAGAAACAACAACAACACGTTGGGTAACACAAATCGCCCGACACGTTCAACCTGCACGTTCAGACATACAAATCACCCGATATGTTGAACCTGTAGCTGACCGTGTTTAAGACAGTCATATTAATTCTATGTTTCTATATGTCCTATAGTTTTTATTTATCTCTTCTATAATCTTTACCAATGAGGGAAAGTTGTCAGACAACAATTCGCGTTCTAGATGATACATATGAGACGATATAAAAGTATGACTTGGTTTCTTTAAAATTGCTTTTCGTTTCCAAGAAAAACGGCTTTATTGGAACCACCTGAAAAGATGGCAGGTCATTTTCGATTAACTGTTGTAGTTTAAGTTTGAGTTATGGAAGCACGTCTTGGCACCAATGTTTCTTGAATTGATAAAGCTTTTCTCTATAACAGTAAGTGTAAGTGGATTGTTTCACTGATAATACAATGAAATCAGCTGGATCTATAGTTCTAGAGACGCTATTACATCAAAACACCAACTTTGAAACAAGTGGAATCAAATATTTCAAACTGTTTATTTGAATAGCCTACTCGATGTTGCACACACATATTTATGGAGTATGTGTTTTTCATTTTATTATACATGATTGGTGGAGTTCGTCAAGCTGATCAAGAATACATGTCTTTTTAAGTTTCTGTTTTTAAATAAGCGTAAGATTGTCTTCGACAATGCCAGTTGTGCAGTTGGTTCACGGGGCGCACGATCATGATCCGGAAAGTAGCTCTAAAAAACGTTTTCTTCTAATTCCGTGTACTGTGTCCTGTTGTAAAGTACAAAATGAACCATCGTTCATTTTTAAATCCGGCAGGGTCCTTTGGGCACTTCTAGCGACTCGAAAAACTTGAAACATACTCTCCTATACTCAACTCCATCCGCTGATTCCAAAAATAACATTCCGAAGGTTCGCTGACCTTGTGGGGCTAGGGTATTGTGTGTTTTTTAAAAAGTCGTGATTTTTCGAAAAAGTATAGCACTCTTATTTTTTACATTTTTCTCCTAAAAGACGAGCTCTGAAAATGTTTTAGCCAGCACATTCGTGATCAGCATGAATCACCCCCTGTTTGTATAAGCAAAAACTGCAAGAGATGCAACAAACGAAGAAGAGAACATTGTTATTTCCATTTACTACTATACAAGAAATATACTTCAAATACATCAGGTTTTCCATATTTTGTACGTATTCGACTACACTTTTTATTTAAAGTTTCTTTAAATAAAGCACTACTTTTCTGCTTTTTACTGAAATGATAAGGGAGCGTTTCAAAATATATTCCGATCAGTCAGTCGCTGTTCCGCTATTCCTGTGTTCCTTTTTCTATTCCGCGACTATTCTGCATTGTGCTGTTACATAATATTCCATTTTATAAGAACTTTTATATAAATATATACAAGAACTTCATCTTCTTTTCCAATTGATTTGATTACGAAAAGCAAGTTTTTACAGTGACCTGCAATAACCAGTATGTATATGTGAGCAAAAAAGTTAGTCTTATTGTTATACAACCGAGCATCATGTATTCATACATGCCTTAGCTCGTTGTATTATACTACGTTTACAAACTTTTAAACATGAATAATGCCGAAGTTAATAACGCCGTTATTCCCGTTTGTCTTATCATTGCAAAAACTTGCTTTTCTAAAGGATAATCAGAGATATTCACCGTCAAATATCTCAAAAACTAAAAAAGATCATTTTTTAAAAGATACATCGGTCTGTTGTACAACTCGAGTACTTTAAACTAGTATGAGCAATGGAATTAGACCTTTTTCTAATTAATGTAATTTTAGTTCGCGAAGTTGGTACAATACGAAATAAATTTACAGTAAGCACTCTCCTCCTTGAATATATAAAAGACAAACATTTGATGAAAATATAAAATTTGTTCGTTTCTCATTTTATTCTTTAAAACAGAAAAACAGAAAATTTTCCCTTACAGGAGAGTCTAAATAGTATCAGAGTAGAATAAACTGTAAAAGGAAAGTACATGTGTACAAAAGACTAATCTTTTAACACAGCGGTTAATTGTTTGAAGACGTAATCAACTCAATTAGAAAAGAAGATGAAGTTCTTGTATATATTTATATAAAAGTTATTATAAAATGGAATATTATGTAACAGCACAATACAGGAATAGTCGCGGAATAGAAAAAGGAACACAGGAATAGCGGAACAGCGACTGACTGATCGGAATATATTTTGAAACGCTCCCTTATCATTTCAGTAAAAAGCAGAAAAGTAGTACTCTGTTTAAAGAAACTTTAAATAAAAAGTGTAGTATCATCAAGTTACTATCACTCTATGATGTGATGTCACACTTCCTGCGTTTGTTTTTCCTTCATATCAGTCGAAGAGTCGAGTGATACATATATAACACAAGAAAATATATGTCTGTTTCATATCTATATGCTGTGATGTGTACTCTTCGAGCGATATGAAGGAAAACGAACAAAGGCAGCGTGACATCAATCTTCACAGACAACAGTCTTAATATATATATAGGTAATGCACATTCTAACTAGTACACACATATATATAACGTGAATAAGAAAACAAAAAAGAAAAGAAAATCACTATTTTTCGCAGCTCTACTGACGTCTTTCGTTCTTTTTTTCTCATTCATCTTTCTTCGTTAAAAAAATAATTTCACTGAGTATATACACATTCTAACTTTTATGTTGTTATTCTTCTGTTTGCAGGAGTGTGTGTGCACGTATTATTCAACCTTCACAAGCACATGCTCTTGAGGCCATCTCTGTTAGAATCTGTTTTCTTGTAATTTTGCAGAAATTCTGACTCTATTGGATCTGGTTACTCTTGCAGGAGTAACCAGATCCTGACATTGTTCAAAGGATCTTGGCATTGATTCTCACAAGAACCTTGTTTAGGCTCACTTTTCTCTCTCTTTGAGTGGCTTCATCCATTTTAACTCTGGTAGGCTATAACTTAGAATTTGCAACAGACTAAACACACTTTTTAATGGAATCACAAAAAGTCAGATAACACATGACAATTACATCACTATAACGAGTCTTTTACCGGCTGGTATCTGTTCGTGCCAGGCGGTTTCTACGTCCTTTAGTTTAGCGACGACAGTTTGAACTTTAAGTTTTCCGTCGGCTGCAAGCTGCAGCATTGCCGGTAGGATTTCAGCCGGCAACTTTTCCATGACCTCCGTCGGAATGCTTCCAAACCCGGAACCGAGAATTTCAATTGCCGAACTCCTCAAAAGTCCGGACGATAATTGAATCTGGTCGCCTGCCATACTGCCGACGGTGACAAAACGTACTTTTGGCGTAATGTTATGCAGTCCGCCCCTGCCCTTCAGCGCATTCAGTATGAGTTCAGCCGGCCGACCCCAGGTGTAATCGATCACGACATCAATTGGATTGTCGACATGTAGTTTCTTCAAACGACCGATTATTTTTTCTTCCTTGTCTTTTAAGGAAATAATTTCGTCTGCTCCCAGCTGAGTTAATAAATTCAATGATTCAGGATTTCTGCCAGTAGCAATGATCTTTTTTGCGCCGTAGTATTTAGCGAGCTGGATAGCCGTCTGCCCAGTGACGCCCGTGGCTCCGTTAACCAAAACGGTATGGCCGACTTTCATCTGACCCTGGTATTTAATTGCCAATGCCGCACCCATAATTGCATTGGGCAGAGTGGCAGCGTTGACATCATCAATCCCATCGGGAATTACCGTGTATTTATTTCTGTCTATCAACGCCCTTTCGGCGATCATTCCGGTAATACCATTGGCATATACCCGAGTGCCATCTGCTAAAGTACCCACACCATCGATGCCGACCACCACAGGTAGACTGGTATAACTAGCGTAATGCGATCCATTAGCACGTCCTCTGTCGAGATTTTTGACAGATGCAGCTTTGACAGTTAGTAAAATCTGACCTGCATGCTGAGCAACGGGTACAGGAAAATCTTCGTATTTCGGAGCCGTACCTAGCTGATGTAGCACCGCTGCTTTCATTACTTGGAGAGTTTGTTTTATCATTCAATAACAGATTACGTCAAGTTTTGCGGTACGTGCAGGTTGTTATGTCGATAGATTACACAAGAAAAAGTATCGTTGTATCTATATCGCATTGCACTCGGATTTTTCTTTCTTTTGAGAAAAAAAATAAGGAGAAAACAGAAAAAGAACGAGGACGAGAGACAGAAAAAGGCGAAATTTTTTTTCCTTCAAAGGCACAGTGTCAGATTAGGCGAAAAGGACGGGTAACTGAATAAATACCCGCGTATGGAGTATCGGTTGCGTGAATTAAGACGAATTTTTGACTGAAAATGAGAGAAGACATTTTGGTCCAAACCTCAGACCTTCGCCTAACTTCAATCAGAACGGATTTAGCAAATATATGAGAACATAAACGCCATACTGGTCCGTTTTGTGTGAGAAATTATTCTTCCTATTTGTTCATAAGTTGTAGTTATTTTTGTGTTCCTTGGAAAGACAATAAAACAGGCATACTAGATAGAATATTACAGGAATGACATAGACTGAAAAAACAAAGTATATTGACAATTTTAATTAAGTTATTGCAATTTTTATATTCAGCTTTTATTTGCAAATGCAAATTCTGCATCCTGTGAATATGTAGCTGTTCTTATGGGCAAACACAATTTCAATTGTTGGATAGATTGGATTAAAGTATCATTTATTAAAAAGGATCAACATAAAGTGAAATTTAAATTGTACCTGAATGGAGAGTCATTATGTGATTGTTTTTTTTTCTCATCCGTATAAGTCGAATATTTACCATAAATAATACAGGAAGAAGAAATTCGAATATCCACCAATAGTAATTGAAAAGATTATAGTTCCAACTATCGACGATTCTACTGTAGGAGACACAGCTGTTGCCGTGGTTGAAGAAATTGGTTCTGTAAACGGTTTTCCCCATAAATCTGTTGTATTAAAGAATTGCATAGCAGTGTTCTTTATTTGATCAGTTTGACCAATAAAATCGAATGGGACAATAAATTTTGTGCATGTATCATCAATTGATTGTCCTCCATTCAAAATAAAAGAAACAATTACTTTATAAGCGCAATTATTAGTAGTAGCAGATCCTTGTCCAATTTCAGGTGAATATCCAGTAGGAACATGTCCGGTATAAGGAAATTTAATTAATCTAAAATTTGGATTTAGCTTTGAATACTGATCTGCCGCGTGATAAGCCATCCAAGAAGGTATAGCTTGATCCAATTCCCCATGCAATGCAATAACTGGAATTGTAGAATTAGAATATTTACCATAATATTCATCTTGGGGATAGCCAATGGCTTTTGCTTGATCTCCTTGCACTTTATTTTGACAGAAAGTTTGTAAGATTTTCTGTGTAAAAAGTAAAGTATTATCAATTTCATTAATAGTATCACATGATAATTGTGGAACATAAATAGATGACCATAATTCCGACCAGTTATGATTCCATTCAAATAAAAGAGAGATACCTTCTTGAGTTCCATCCGTTGCAGGTTGAGATGCAATAAGAAAATTCTTTAAAACTAATTGATCTTGTGGAGAACAACGAATCGTTCGAAAGATAATAGCTGGAATTAATTCAAATGAACCACCAAGCAAACAAAAAGACATTTTCTCTGATAAATCACGATAATTTATATTCAATATTTGACCACAGATGGAACCATTATGCATCATTTTCATCTTCAATTCATAAAGTGCACGAATTGGATTATTATCATAAAACATTTGTGAACAAAAATTATCTTGAGAACATTTGACCATTATATCTAATCCAGTAAAATCAATATTAATATTTTGTAATAATATTTGAGTTCGATCAGGTGGAGGAAAACTATCTAAGATAATTCCATTAGATTGGAAAGGAGCGATTGTTAAATAACGTTGAGCTAAATAAGCTCCATTACTCATACCCATAACATACACTTCATTATTAGCAGCAGATAAATCAATTAGATATTTTAAATCTTTAGCCGTATTAGTATAAGTATTGTGTTTTATTCTATTATGATGTTTTAGAGCAACTGTAATACAGCCAGCAAAATTATATAAGAAATCTTCTAGAGTACAATCTAACCAAGAAGATTTGCCTGTACCACGTTTATCATATAAATAAATATCAATGGAACCTTGAGGGAAGATTTGTGCTATACTTTGAATTATTTGTACAGCTGTAGATTCTAATACAGAACCAGGAACAGCGGCGCCACCGCCTAATTGCCATAATTGTTTTGTATTAGGCTTATTAGGTTGATCTGCATATATTCTTCGTACAAAGATAGAAATTGTTTCAGATGTAGTTGAATTATTCCAGTCTAATGGAACAGAAATATTTAAGCATTGAGTACGAACATTTAATACAGGAAATGGAATTGGATAAGTGAAATCACAAGAAAACCATAAAGTGTCTCCATATTGTGAAAGATTGGAAATTGGTATAGCAGCTGTATAATAATAGTGAGGATGAAGATCAAGTATAGCAGTCATCAATACAAAAATAACCAGCACGAGAGACTTCAAGTTCATTACTAATTAGAACGATTCGAATATTAATCTTAATAATGATGATCAGACAATGCCATTATCAGCGTGACGTCACACACTAAAAAAATCATTAGTTGTTTAATTCCTTTTTGGATCTTCGAATGAAGAGATTCTGCACTTGTTACACTTAGACTACCGGTTAGTTCAATAATTAATCGAGATTACAGAATTGCTTTTTATTGATAGACGAACAACAATTTACCCCTAATGTCAATTTGTTAGTCAAAAATAGAAAGGTTTCAGCATTATTTCACCAGTAAACATGATGAGGATGATTTCTTTGTGACTGACTATATACGCTGTGTAGTAAATATTTTTTGAAGAAATATCATATCGGTAATACTTGATCAATTAATCTTCATTTTCTTTTTTAATCTTCTTTAAATATTGTCCCTCTTTCTACATTACATTTAAACGTACAGAAGAGTGACGGTCTTATTTCAATCTACCTGTGATTATACTGCTTTAGCAAGAGAAAGGCGGTTCATAAAAAGTCATCAGTTTTTTGCGTTTTACATGAAAAAGTAATTGTACATTTTAAGTACCTTCGAAATATTGGTAGACACTTTTATTTCCCGCTACTAAGAGTACTGTGAAAAACTCTGCAAAGAACGAAACTACCGTATACATAAGTCTATCTTTTTTCCTTTCTCAAATAAGTTGCTTTTCTACTCAATTGATAGATCAGCGAAGCAATTACCGACGGCCGGAAGAAAGCACAATACAAGGCTAAAGCATGTTTCACAAAAACGTTCAAGCCACACTTAAGGAAACTTAAGATATAGGGATGGAACCTACAGCACAAAAAGTTTTCCTATATTGTGGTTGTAAACTATGTCTATAATAAGAATTTCACCTTTTTATCTGCAACTCTTACTGAGTTTTAAGCAGAACTCTAAGTAGGATGAAACTGTTTTTGTCACAGATATCTGGAGACAGACAGCGGGTAGTAGTTTTAATTGATAGACAATATTTTACTCCCGATCTTGACAGAGCTAACTTTTGTCAAAAATTTAAATCAAAACCCCTAAAAAATCTTCCAAATTGTTCTTTTATAGTAGCGTAAAGCCTAAAGCAAAATCATGTTCTATAGGGACGATGATAAAGAGTATCTCGTGTTGATGGAAAAAATGTACTCTACAAAATCTCCTTTGCGTTAAAGTAAAACTATATGAACTCTTTTTTACAGAAAATATAAGTTACAAATGCCGTTTTTGAGACTTTTACAACACACTTCAACAACAGCACTTATGGTGAACTCAATACAGATTCTAAAAGTGGGCACCAGAGGCTATCCGTCTATATATGTAACTTCATATCTGACATTTTTAATATAAAAGATCTTCTCTTACGCGGGAGAGCATAAAGGTAGCGTTGCACTTTACCTTTACTTTTACATTTCTAAACAAAGAAAAGTTAAAAAAGCTTTTCTTTAATTGATAAAGTAAACGCAAAAGTAAATATTTTCTTTTAGCTTAAAGCTGTTCTAGTCCATTTTAGTCTTATGTGTGCGAATTTTCGAATCGATTTACTCAGTTTCCTAGTGTTTTTAATTAGTATTACATTTACTGAACAACGTTTAACTACTGTTATGATTGATCGTGGTCACAAGATTAGGAAATATGCTTTCAGCTTCTTGACATGTGTGTTACGCCATCTCGATACTGTTTTTTATATCGAGGAAAAAGACTGCTCTTCACAATGAACACAGGTCATTATCGCTGAACACAAACCACTTTACGAGTGTCGTAATCAATTACTACCTACGGTTTTACCACTATGGCGTTTGAAACTATCTGTGTTTAGTGTTATATTCTGACATGTGTGTTACGCCGGCACCCTACAATTTATTTCCACTTCAGCAAACTATGGTTTCTATACTATATATGGAAGTTTGACGGAAGCTGTGGTAAGGTATTTTCATACATGGAAGCCCACGCGTAGAAATTCATGGTATTTATTGCAAACATGAATAGCAAATTCACACTGTTGTTTACAAGCAATATGGTATAACCAGAATGTGTTGGATTTATAATTCTAGGTACGTGTGTTCGAATCTCAATCCTGGCAAACAATTATAATTGTATGTATCTGAGTGGTAAGTGATATTCAAGACGACACAACGCATGGGTAATGTCCTGAAGCTCTGTATACATCTTCTGTAGAAGATGCTGGAAACGAAAAATAATTTTTTCTAAACTGACCGTTAAAGGCCGTGAACGGTCACGGCTCAGTTACGACCGTAAAACGGCCGGCGTATTTACGGTGTAGTTACGGGCGTTTACTGCCGTATTTGCACCGTACACGGCCGTTTACGATGCAAATACGACCACAAACGGCGATTTACGGAGCTCGTATAGGACTGTATACGGTCATTTACGGCAGTCGTAAAATTGGGCCTGGATAGATAAGACCGTCACTCTTCTGTACGTTTAAATGTAATGTAGAATGAGGGACAATATTTGAAGAAGATTAAAAAAGAAAATGAAGATTAATTGATCAAGTATTACCGATATGATATTTCTTCAAAAAATATTTACTACACAGCGTATATAGTCAGTCACAAAGAAATCATCCTCATCATGTTTACTGGTGAAATAATGCTGAAACCTTTCTATTTTTGACTAACAAATTGACATTAGGGGTAAATTGTTGTTCGTCTATCAATAAAAAGCAATTCTGTAATCTCGATTAATTATTGAACTAACCGGTAGTCTAAGTGTAACAAGTGCAGAATCTCTTCATTCGAAGATCCAAAAAGGAATTAAACAACTAATGATTTTTTTAGTGTGTGACGTCACGCTTATAATGGCATTGTCAAAAACTGCCCACTCGTCAAAAAAAGACAGAAGAGAACAGACCTCTTTCTTCCTCTTTTCGTACCTACACACTCACGTTTACGCACACGTGTTTTACATCTATTATCATTTTTTAATTAAGACCACACGAATTTATTTAAAAATTTCGCTTATATTATATACACATATTAAGAGATACGAAATTCTATTTCGTTTCCAACCATCACGGTACTCTTATATACCTTAGACCCGTGTTGCACCGAACAAAGATGAATTACAATTACTCTAATGAACGGAATAATTGGAATCGAAGTGGACGGCCGCCTCAACAGTTCAAAGGTCAAGTTAATCAAGTTCAACAACAGCAAAATCAGCAGAATTCTCAAACTACGCTAGCAACAACAAGTAATAGGTAGTATGATATGGAGACGATGCTAAATTATATTCGAGATAATCCATAAGTTGCATTAGGAGTCCATCAACAGCTACTTGAAAATCAGCGAGTTAACTTAAATTCGAATACGAATTCCTCTTCACCGCCTATTCAACTACAACCACAATTAATCTGTACTCCTACTACTCATAAAAGAGGCCTCGATGAGAGCACTAGTGGAGTTAGACAAAAATATAAGAAAAATACACAACACAATCAAGATATAAATAACAACATGAATACATCAGTTATCAATGTAACAACAACTCTTCCTCAAGCACTACGCGAACAACAAATTACTCAGTCACAACATGTCCAATCTATTTCCTTTCAACAATTAAAGAGAGCTGTATCAAGTAATTTACCATGCTTTTTGATAGAATTTGATCCATCTGTAGATCGTAAAGAAATTCCATTTGATATTACAGCGGCTAATTTATTAGAACAGTATTTCTCATTTATGAACTATAATATTACATTTTCTCTTGTTGGTCATACTGGTAATAAATTAAAAGTGGGCGTTAATAATAAAGAAAATTATGCTCATTTAATGTCAGCAAATATATGGCCAGATAAAGTTGAAAATGTTGGTATTACGGTTATCAAGCCATCGTATATACTAGATACTGTTGGTATTGTGGTTCGTTTCTTGGATCAACAATATGACGATGAATTTGTAAAAAGTGAAATAGAGCGAAATTTTCAATCAACCGAAAATATAAGAAACATTAACTATGCATTTCAACGTCGTAATAACGATTATCGTTTTAATGTTAAAGTTTTACGAGAATATAATTCTGCATTACAACGTGGTCGTATCTCTATCGGGAATAATTTATGCTCCATTACACCATTTAAAGTGGAAATCGAATGACATTCTGTACAAAATGCTGGTGTCTAGGACATCTTCAAGATAAATGTCAAGCTCATGCTCGTTGTCGATAATGCTTGGAAGAATTAGTTAGGGGTCAAATACATACATGTTCCTCTGGACCAAATTGTGCTCAGTGTAATGGAGATCACCATTCTCTTGGTGGCAGATGTGAAAAAATAAAAGAATATCGTGCTTAACTAAAGCAGGAAGTGAAAAAAGCTCTAGCTGATGGCAGATTATATAGAAGTGAACCCTTTGAGAGTCCTAATGCTGCATTTCAATATAAACAGAATCAATTTCCTCCTCTACAACCAGCCGTTAATTCTCATCCAGTTCCTTGGTTCCAGCCTGCTGTATCTTCAACTGTTCATATTCCTGCTATCGGTATTACTGCTAAGAATTCTGCTTCGGATTTAAGTAAAACTCTCTTATCGATTAATGAAAACTTAGTGGCTATGAGAAAAAATAGTGACCGAATAGAAGAAAGATTAACAGCTATGGAAAGGAAGACAGATCAAGCAGCACTTGATGCACAATTTCATCAAAAAACATTGGATACAACAATCTGTATCCTAACCGATGCTATTAATAATGTTATTTTACCTATGACTGGCCAGAGTTTTGAATGCTATAGTCTGATCGAGATTTATTTCATTGAGAGAAGTGTCTATGTCACTAGTTTCATACAGTTGTTTACCAAATTCGACTAGTTTTTTATTATTTTGGTAGTTACGTTGATGTGAAAGGAAACCGATTACCTGATTTACATTCAAATCATTTGACGCTGCAAAACTATCTAGCAGTTCGTTCAAATCTAGCAAACGATTCTTTTTTTGACGATCTCCTAGTTCCTCAATGATTTTCCTTTTCCTTTTAGGTGGTTTAGGGCGCTGTTTTAAATCTTTTAGTTCAAGAATAATTTTAGAAACTCACTAACTCGCTGTTCGTTGGTCCTTTTGCGCCACAAATCAAACTTAAACTTTTTCACAGTATGGTATTGCACTAGGCCAGAGATCAATTTCTTATTATCTTCACATTCATCGACACCTAATAAGCCACATACGGCTGAAACGACTTTTTTTCTGTCCGTGTCACAACTAACTGAAAAAAATTTCATAAAACTGACTTAACGTTAGATTTTTGGAGATTTTAGCTATCGCTTCTTTAGTTGCTGTGTACTCTTCAGTCCCGCCTGTTGAGGTGGACGAAGCCTCAGTTTTATTAAATGAGACTGTACTCGAGTTAGCCATGGCAGATTATCAAGCGGTTAAAGTCATTACCTTGGACGGAGACCTATCAAACAACTATCTTGTAAATCAGTTGTTCCTTCTATGGCCCTCGCTACCCACTCAACTGTGCCAAGGGTTTGCAGCCACTTCATCCCTGCGAAATTATGTGACTCCCAGAGCGCCTAAATTAATTACGGAGCTCATTTCTCTCTTTTTACCGACGAAAATAAAATATACCGAGCTCATTTGTTTCTTTTCAGATTATAAATTAATTTCCGAGCTCAAAACTCTCATTTATATAAAAAAATATAATTTTATTACAATCGAGCTCATTGCTCTCATTTTAAAGCCAATTAAGTACACCGAGCTCAAATATCTCTTTTTTCTGAGCTCATTTAATTTCGTGTCCTTTTTGAATAACTGTTGATAGAAATAAGATAAAGAAGTGCGGTTTTCACCGTTGGAAAGAGGAGATAAAGATGCCTTGAATCGTATATTGTAGGTTTTTCTAATATTGATTTCTGAAGTATTTTTATGCAATTTTCTAACAGTTGGAAAAATGTTTTTTTTTATGAAAAAAAAGGAAAAAGGAGAAAACTGAGCTTTTTTCACAGATTTTGCCACAAAATCATATCAGAAGCTCGACTAGAATGCATGTTATTCATCGTAGCCTTCCGTACTTTCTAGATCTTTGATTAGTGATTTGAATTTATACTTGATGATTGAAAATTCACTGTAAACAACTTACCAGATTAGTTTGTTCTTAAAAAGATCAACCGAAAACCTTATAGAAAACAGATCAGGAAAACCTGGAATATATGATTCGATGCATCTCCTCTTTCCAACGGTGAAAACTGTAATTCTCTATCTTGTTTTTATCAAAAGTTATTCAAGAAATACTCACTCGTATTTTTTTAAATGAGTATTAATACAACTAGCACATATAATAACGAACACATCTTATCGAAATTTTATTATTATGATATTAGTTGAAATATGATCAAATAGCATAGAAAGATAGAGCTGTTTTTATCTATCAGACTATATAGAAAGAAAGTTTCTTTAAGTCTGCTGTACGGTATTAAAGTGTCACTGCCACTACTTTGGTATGCCCTAAGTATATGATACACCCTCATGAAGCACTATGATATACTACACACCCTCGTACAAGCGGTGGAATACATCAATGAATACGATATTAATACATATCCACGCCATCCAATAGTACTGATAATGTTGATCACCAGAATCGCTAGAAATCGAAGCGATGAATTAGATTATTATGTTTTTCTTCGTATTATTATCTATTCTTTTAAACCTAATTTTCCTTCTTTCCTTTTTTCTATTCGCATTTTCCTTTATTCATTTGCTTATGCTTAAATATTGTGAATGCAGAGCCCTGATGTGTTTCATTATTGTTTAAATAAATAACACGAAACGCGTCGGCAAAATTAAACTCTACATTTACTAAATTATTCTAAATCCAGCACATTATTTAAGACTTATTCGAAATTCTTGTGACTTAGATCGAATACTAGAAAGCAAGAGTTGAGAGTAGCAGATTGATTAGTTCTCTTCGTCCAGAGATAGGTCGATTGGTTTTCGAATAGACTTTGAATTATACTGAAAGCACTCCTTTTGATTTGATACTTGATTTAACTTGGATGTCAATTTATTGACCCTTTATTAAAATTAAGTTGACATTGAATCTTAAGATTTCTTTCCTTATAATCGTATTGTTATTTATGTAGCTATAGATTATAAAGATACCTGATGATGACCATGTAAGCTACGGTCGAAAGGCGTCGTACTCGGCTTTAAATCTGTATTATTTGAGTCATAAACACACACTCACCTCACTCTCACCCAAATTATATTTCAATATTAAGGTATCTTATTAATTCTTTGACTATGTTATGTTCACGTAGTAATATGATTTCGAATCTACCTGATGATGACTGCTTAAGAAGTAGTCGAAAAGAACTAATCAATCTGCGATAATAAATACATAAATAAATAAATATACCCTAGTGAAATGAACAATGATCACTATAGTGACGATATATAGTGGCAAGTAACTCTTGGTAACACGGTCGTAGACCAAGATACCTGAAGCGAGAAATACTATAGAAAATGACTATATGTGACAGAATTATAGTAGGACTGCCTTAGTGATATATCAGAATCATATGGAAATATAACATGGGTTCAGGTTGATTGAGTAACTCACTTGGTAGAATATATGGACCGATAATCCATAGTTCGTGGGATCATTTCCCACTCTGTTTTACAGAAATAAGAAAAATATTATATCTCTAAGCGTGATTAATGGCGATCCTCGGATCATAACAATCCTCACCCACATCTGGATGCTCATACACAAGCGTTAATTATCACCAGGCGTGATACCAGACCCTCATTATGTATGAACTTTGAAAATAAGCTTTATACATCACAGAATAAATATATTCTTATGATCCTTTAGCAATCATATAGAATCAATTGCCATCTGATAAAAACCTTAAACAAGATCGAAACACTTGTCATTGCTGCTAGTCACACCCACATCTCATGCACTGTACTCACCCTCAAATATTGGATTGTTTTCGATTCTTCTATAGAATTTGGAATCCACTACTTGACTTACACCCTCCGATGAATCTTCTCTGCAAGGACGAAACCGCTCACGACAAGCTTCTCGCTAACTTCATCAAATTATGAACTATTAGTGCGAGGCTCATATTTCCTCAATACCCACGGATGCCCCCAATGCGTACGTCTTATTCCACCAATAGCCAAATTACTCATACAATTCGATGCTCGACACCTTTATACCTCAGCTTCATTAGAAAAGACTTCCTAAGCCCGCTTCGAATCTCAATCAAACACACCATTATGTCCAATCACCAGTCAATTCTGGTTGATGGCTATTCTCTTAGAGAAGGTCTTCGAGTAGAGTTCAACTTGATAGCATTAAAAGGATCGTATTAATGATATTCTGTGAAACTTTTCGCTGTTGAGGGATCAATATTTGTTCTGACTCAAGCCTGCAAGCAGTCAGCAGAAAGTTTATTGTGCAGTTAGTAGCCACATACATCAAACCATACGCACTCACACTTAACGCTACGAAAGAATAAAAGAAGGAATGCAGACGTTAACAAATTGTTGATCAAAACTTTTGTTGCCCCTCAGAATCAGTTTGTGGCATTGACGCTTCCATATCATTCGATGATTCGCTTTCGTCCGTACTTTTGCGGTAGTACCACCACAGAATCGGTAGCGTAGTAAGTGACGCCACATATGTGACAATTACCATCGCGCATGCTGCGTCTCTACAATCTGCGCGGAAATTGTTCCAATTACTGAATACTTTTGCCTGTATGGTGATAAAAAGGGCGAAACAAATAACAATTGCTGCAAACGTAAAACCTAAATTTGAACGAAGCAAAACCGTTTTAAATACAGGGCAAGCACTTATAACTTACTCATGGAACATTTTTCAAATTCAACGTATCCTTTTTCTTCTGTTTTAACTACTTTCCTAAGAATTTGCAATAGTAAAATAGACTATACAAGCGTGGTTGTCGCAAAAACGAATTTACCCGCTATTTTGATTTCTCGTCGTCTCTGTCCAAGAATAAGAGGTTGTGCGAATTTCTTTGGTTCCAAAGATATATTTTCGGTTGTACCAACACAAAACGACTAATAGTACTTGCATACCCGCAAAGGCTCTTATAACGCCTCCTACGTTTGTGTTGTCTAATGAACTGC